AAGCGAAGGGGTGGGAGGTTTCAGTGGAGAGGACATAAATGGGATTAGGTCAGGGGTTCAAATAGAGTTAGAGCTAAAGAAGGAGTAGCAAAAAATGTTGAAGGAAAGCTATGGCAGGAAAAGAGGGACTATAAATGTATTATTCAAGGATTATGTGGATAAAATAAAGATTGGATGTGAAAGTGGGTTATAATAAGCGTGTATGCACCTGGAGAAGAGAGAAGTGTAGAGGAGAAAGAGAGATTTTGGGAAATGTTGAGTGAATCGTGGGGAGTTTTGAATCAAGTGTGAGAGTAAATGGTGGTTGGGGATTTCCAAAGCTAAAGTGGGTAAAAATGTTATGGAAGGAGTAGTAGTAAAAATTTTGGGGGGGCCAGGGGTAAATGTAAATGGGGAGCCTTTAATTGAGCTATGTGTAGAAAGAAATTTGGTAATAAGTAATACATATTTTTTGAAAAAGAGGATAAATAAATATTACAAGGTATAGCACGTAATGAAAATAGTTTTATTAGATTATGTATTGGTGGATAAAAGGTTGATGGGTAGGGTCCAGGATGTACATGTTTATAGAGGGGGAACTGATATATCGGATCATTATTTAGTTGTAGCTACAGTTAGAGTAAGAGGTAATGGGAAAAAAGGAAGGTGGCAACAACAAGTAAGAGGGAGGTGAAAGGTATAAACTAAGGGAGGAGGAAGTTCGGGTGAGATATAAGCGTCTATTGGCAGAAAGGGGGGGTAGTGCAAAGATGAGTAGTGGGGGGGTTGAAGAGGGTTGGAATAGTTTTAAAAATGCAGTATTAGAATGTGGGGCAGAAGTTTGTGGTTATAGGAGGTGGGGGCAGGAGGAAAGAGGAGTGATTGGTGGAATTATGAAGTAAAGGGTGTGATAAAAGAGAAAAAGGTAGCTTATGAGAGGTTTTTACAAGCAGAAGTGTTATAAGAAGAGCAGAGTATATGGAGAGTAAAAGAAAGGTAAAGAGAGTGGTGAGAGAGTGCAAAAGGAGAGCAGATGATAGAGTGGGAGAGGCACTGTCAAGAAATTTTAAAAGAAAATAAGAAAAATTTTTTGGGTGAGTTAAACAAGTTAAGAAAGCCTAGGGAAAATATGGATTTGTCAGTTAAAAACAGAGTAGGGGAGTTAGTAATGGGGAGATGGAGGTATTGGGTAGATGGCGAGAATATTTTGAGGAACTTTTAAATGTTAAGGAAGAAACAGAGGCAGTAATTTCATGCACTGGTCAGGGAGGTATACCATCTTTTAGGAGTGAAGAAGAGCAGAATGTAAGTGTGGGGGGGGTACGTGAGGCATTACGTAAAATGAAAGGGGGGAAAGCAGCTGGAACTGATGGGATCATGACAGAAATGTTAAAAGCAGGGGGGGGTTAATAGTGTTGGAGTGGTTGGTACTTTTGTTTAATAAATGTATGAAAGAGGGGAAGGTACCTAGGGATTGGCCAGAGAGCATGTATAGTCCCCCCTTTTATAAAGGGGGAAAGGGACAAAAGAGACTGTAAAAATTATAGAGGAATAAGCTTACTGAGTTTTACCAGGAAAAGTGTACGGTAGGGTTATAATTGAAAGAATTAGAGGTAAGACAGAATGTAGGATTGTGGATGAGCAAGGAGGTTTTAGAGTGGGTAGGGGATGTGTAGATCAGGTGTTACATTTAAGCATATATGTGAACAGTATTTAGATAAAGATAGGGAAGTTTTTATTGCATTTTGGATTTGAAAAGGCATATGATAGGTGGATAGAGGAGAATGTGGCAGATGTTGCAAGTATATGGAATAGGTGGTAAGTTATTAAATGCTGTAAAGAGTTTTTATGAGGATAGTGAGGCTCAGGTTAGGGTGTGTAGAAGAGAGGGAGACTACTCCCGGTAAAAGTAGGTCTTAACAGGGATGTCACCATGGTTGTTTAATATATTTATAATGGGGTTGTTAAGGAAGTAAATGCTAGGGTGTTTGGGAGAGGGGTGGGATTAAATTATGGGGGAAACAAATTCAAAATGGGAATTGACACAAATTACTTTTTGCTGATGATACTGTGCTTATGGGAGATTCTAAAGAAAAATTGCAAAGGTTAGTGGATGAGTTTGGGAATGTGTGTAAAGGTAGAAAGTTGAAAGTGAACATAGAAAGAGTAAGGTGATGAGGGTGTCAAATGATTTAGATAAAGAAAAATTGGATATCAAATTGGGGAGGAGGAGTATGGAAAAAAGTGAATGTTTTCAGATAAATTTGGGGGTTGACGTGTCGGCGGATGGATTTATGAAGGATGAGGTTAATCATAGAATTGATGAGGGAAAAAAGGTGAGTGGTGCGTTGAGGTTAGTGGAGTCAAAAAACGTTATCTATGGAGGCAAAGAAGGGAATGTATGAAAGTATAGTGTACCAACACACTTATATGGGTGTGAAGCTTGGGGGGTAAATGCAGCAGCGAGGAGACGGTTGGAGGCAGTGGAGATGTCCTGTTTAAGGGCAAAAGTGTGGTGTAAATATTATGCAGAAAAATTCGGGAGTGTGGAAATTAGGAGAAGGTGTGGAGTTAATAAAAGTATTAGTCAGAGGCAGAAGAGGGGTTGTTGAGGTGGTTTGGTCATTTAGAGAGAATGGATCAAAATAGAATGACATGGAAAGCATATAAATCTATAGGGGAAGGAAGGCGGGGTAGGGGTCGTCCTCGAAAGGGTTGGAGAGAGAGGGTAAAGGAGGTTTTGTGGGTAAAAGGGGGTTGGACTTCCAGCAAGCGGTGCGTGAGCGTGTTAGATAGGAAATGAATGGAGGACGAATGGTACTTGGGACCTGACGATCTGTTGGAGTGTGAGCAGGTAATATTTAGTGAAGGGATTCAGGGAAACCGGTTATTTTTATATAGTCGGACTTGAGTCCTGGAAATGGGAAGTACAATGCCTGCACTTTAAAGGAGGGGTTTGGGATATTGGCAGTTTGGAGGGATATGTTGTGTATCTTTATATGTGTATGCTTCTAGACTGTTGTATTCTGAGCACCTCTGCAAAAACAGTGATAATGTGCGAGTGTGGTGAAAGTGTTGAATGATGATGAAAGTATTTTCTTTTTGGGGATTTTCTTTCTTTTTTGGGTCACCCTGCCTCGGTGGGAGACGGCCGACTTGTTGAAAAAAAAAAAAAAAAATACACACATACACACACACACACACACATACATACATACATACATACACACTTGGACTTACTTCACACTACACGTGCATGTACACGTTTATGTATACACACTCATCTGGGTTTTCTTCTATTTTCTTACTAGTTCTTGTTTATTTCCTCATACCTCCAGGGGAGAAGTGGAACAAAATTCTTCCTCCATAAGCCATGCGTGTCAAAAGAGGCAACTAAAATGCCAGGAGAAAGGGGCTAGTAACCCCTTCTCCTGTATACATTGCTAAAGTTAAAAAGAGGCAGGGTGACTCAAATAAGAAAAACACCATCATTCACACAATCACTGTCTTTCCAGAGGTGCTCTGATACAACAGTTTAGATGTCACTCCAAACAGCCAATATCCCAAGCCCCTCCTTTAACCCTTTCAGGGTCCGCCCCAAAAATCTACGGCTTTAAAGCCAGGTCCAAGCCGTAGATCTACGCCATGAGCTCAGCTCACTTGGATTACCTATGAGCAGTAAATTGGACGCTAGATATGAGAGAAACATCTATGTGGTAAGTGTGCACCACAAAAAACAAATCCCGCACAGTGCATAACAAGAGAAAAAAAACTGACCGTAATTTTGGATTAAAACAGCAACTTTGCTGTGTTTTTCTGTAAGTTTTTTACATTTGTATCACAATTTCTTGATCTTGTTGATAGAATGGAAAGATATGTTACAGAATAGTTGCTTTTGATTGTTTTAGTACTGAAAATGGCTTGAAACTAAAGCTCAAAGTAGCAGAATTTTTCAATTTTTTGCTGATGTTCAAGAGTAAACAATGTCATCACAAGACTAATACACATCAGCTGGTGGGTCTAATGTATGTTCACAAATGTGCTGATATTATTTATACAATTTTTACAATATTGCATAACAGTAAATCATTTTTTGGCGTGAATAAAAATACATTATGTGAATAAAATATAAAAAGGGAATTCATTTGCAAAGCCTGAAAATGTAACTAATAAGCAGAGGAAATGTTAGTTTACTGCCAGGAAATCCCTGCATTTTTTCATTCAGGACCTTATTTTGAAATTAAAATACAGGGGAACTTCAAATATCGAAACTTTCTACTTCCAGACAAGCTGTTCGAGTCCCGTTACCAAATGAATTTATTCCCAGCGGGAATAATGTAATTAGATTAGTTCGTTTCAGACCCTCAAAAATACACTTATAAAAGCACTTACAAAAAACACTTACTAATTGGTTGATTTGGAGCAGTTCGATATTTGAAGTTCCACTGTATTTTGAACTTTGTTTTAAAATTAGCCAAATTACCAATTTCTGATCAATTTTTTGGGGTAGTTGAAACAGTTGACCAGGCGATTTCTTATGCTCAATCGATAAAATAAAAGTAATACTAGTGAAATAGCTAAGAATTTGGCCCAACTGGAATAATGTAATTGGCCTAAAATGGGTGTGAAAGTTGGCAAAATCGCCGATGTGTAAATATCGCTGATGCATCAAAATTCAAGAGAGCATAATTTTGTAAATCTTCCATCAAATTTCGTACTTTTTTTTTTTTTTTTTACCTTCAAAAAAAGATTCTCTACCATTTCATAAGAGAAAATACCTGGCTGTCCCTCAGAGGCCAAACCTCAAACCCTTTGAGGGGTCCAAAGTGCAGACATTGTACTTCCCACCTCCAGAACTCTTGTCCAGCTAACCAGTTTCCTGAATCCCTCACAAAATATTACCCTCCTCACACTCGGCTCATCAGGTCCCAAAAAAAGCATTCATCTCCATTCTCTTATTTGTTCACATATGCCGCTATAAACTATTAAGTTTATATGATGTCAATTATTTCAAATTTCAGGAGAAGAGAAGCAGATTAATCCCTTCATGAGAGTAGCAGAAGCTTCAGTCCAGCAACACGCTAACACTTCTGACCCAGTAGCAACCATGGCTGCCATTAGAGCAGAAAAAGATAACTGGAAGCCACCTAAGCTTTAACGAAGAGATGTTGCTTCTCTGCTGGCAGTGGTAAATTGTAGTTTGCCAGCTCTGTTGTGAATATTTTACTCATAAGGAATTTAGATTATTATAATCATAAGCAAGTGCAATATGCCATTTTATTGAAAGCAGCTTTTTCATGGTTTCTCAGTTCTGCTATTTGGCTCTTGGCTTTCTAATTTGTAATATTTTATATTGATCACTTCAGAGTAATATGGGTGCACTTGCCTGCAAGTTAGTTGCCTCTTTTGTAAAGCTTCAACACCCTTAAATATTAGTTAAGAATATTGTTAGTTTGGTCGTTAAGTTGAACAAGATTGTATCGTTTCTGGAGAAACACTAAAGCCATAGGGGGGTCATAAAGTAAGTGGGGAAATGGCTAACAGATTTGATCTGAAGAAGTGGAGAGTAATTCCAGTTCTCTGGATCAAGTGCTCTTGGCAATTTGCCCTACAAGGGAAATGCCTTAATGAAAGAGTAGGTTACACTCTATAAACCCTTCAGATTCATAAAACAAATTACTTGCAATGTAGATTGGTTAAACTAGTGTTGGAATAATTTATAACACTTCTGCTAGCCAAGGAGTTGCAGGCACTTAGTATCTTAAAATGATTTAGTAGTCAGTCTGCAATTTTCAGTTATTTACATAACCCCCACATTGTTGTATGACCCTTATGGGTTTAGTGCTTAATTATAATGACCTAACCTCTCAAGGAAGGTTCCTTGATGCCAATGAGAAGCATATGCTCCAAGAAACTGGATAACCTTCCCTTCCCTGGACTGAACCTGATTACTTTCCATGCCCCCCAGGTGCTGAATGTTTAGTGCTCCCCCATGAATGTATAAATATTTACATAATGTTTTGAGTACTGGAATTAGTTTTAAGATTTTATGCTAGTGATGTCAGACCTGGTTGTATCTATGGAATTAAATGAAATAAAATACTGGTCTTATTTTGGTTCTCACCCAATAATTATTCTTTATGATTTGTCCTGTAAGCTTGTACATTGCTACCATACTAGACATTAAAGTCTTTCAGAGCAAAACTAGCAGTTTTAGTCATCCACTTTTGTGTGTGTGTTTTTAGAGTGGTAGACACTTTCATGGTTGCCATAAGCTGCATTTGCAATGTTGTAGAAAAGAGGTGGTGGTGGTCCAAGCAAATACGATCAGAGGAAGCATTTAAGCTCAAATTATTTGCTTATTCGCAATTTTTCCATAATATACAGCCTGTCCTCGCTTAGCAACATACTCATTTACTAAAGACTGACTTATGACAGGCTCTCTGACCAGTTTGCATACCTAAATAATGTATATTAGAGCTGATTTCCTCTATTCTGTTTATTACAATATACAGTACACTACTGTATAAACATTTAAAGATATACCAGAAATGTTATAATTGGTGCAGAGGTGACATTAAAACAATATCAAAGATGGTTGACACAAACCCACTTCCATTATAGTATGCTCCTCACTTAACGACAAATTCGTTTACCAATGTGGTCTTGGGAACGGAACTCCATCGTTAAGTGAGGAGAGGCTGTGTATATTATCAAGGAACAGTTCCTTGATAATGTGAGAAATCATTATATTGCTTGGAAGTTAATTTTTTTTTTTCATGGTATTTTTTTTTTTTTTTTTGTTTTTGCATTATTTTTGTACGAGCTGTATGATACAAATGCAACACTTGGGCATCTTTATTGCGGAGACATTTCACCCACCGGTGGTGGTGGTTGTTATAATCAAAAAGCGCTAAACCACAAGGGTTACACAGCACTGCAACCAGTGGTTGTATTAATCCAGTACAGAACGCCACATTGCAGCTAGTACAAGACAAAGATACTTGCGTACTTGTCAGTTTTGTAAACCATTAATACAGGATTACACTAGCAATGAATATTTTCATTCCCGAGGACAGGACTTCGTCAGCCATTCTGGAGATTTCGGGCAGTGTTTTCCTGATTTTGGGTCCTTTTATGTATATTGAATTTTTTAAGAGATTTAGCGGGACACTATGAATATCAGAGACTTTTGTGTCTGGTATTATGTACAGTATTTAGATAAAGGTAGGGAAGTTTTTATTGCATTTATGGATTTAGAAAAGGCATATGATAGAGTGGATAGAGGAGCAATGTGGCAGATGTTGCAAGTATATGGAATAGGTGGTAAGTTATTAAATGCTGTAAAGAGTTTTTATGAGGATAGTGAGGCTCAGGTTAGGGTGTGTAGAAGAGAGGGAGACTACTTCCCAGTAAAAGTAGGTCTTAGACAGGGATGTGTAATGTCACCATGGTTGTTTAATATATTTATAGATGGGGTTGTAAAGGAAGTAAATGCTAGGGTGTTCGGGAGAGGGGTGGGATTAAATTTTGGGGAATCAAATTCAAAAGGGGAAATTTGACACAGTTACTTTTTGCTGATGATACTGTGCTTAGGGGAGATTCTAAAAAAAAAATTGCAAAGGTTAGGGATGAGTATGGGAATGTGTGTAAAGGTAGAAAGTTGAAAGTGAACATAGACAAGAGTAAGGTGATGAGGGTGTCCAATGAATTAGATAAAAGAAAAATTGGATATCAAATTGGGGAGGAGGAGTATGGAAGAAGTGAATGTTTTTCAGATACTTGTGTGTTACAGTGTCCGCGGATTGGATTATGCAGATGAGGTTAATCAAGAATTGAATGAGGGAAAAAAGGTGATGGTGCGTTGAGGTATATGTGGAGTCAAAAAACGTATCTATGAGGCAAAGAAGGAATGTATGAAAAGTATATGTAGTACCAACACTCTTATATGGGTGTGAAGCTTGGTGGTAAATGCAGCAGCGAGGAGACGGTTGGAGTCAGTGGAATGTCTGTTTAAGGGCAATGGTTTGGAGTAAATATTATGCATAAAATCGGAGTGTGGAAATTAGAAAAGGTGTGGAGGTTAATAAAAGTATAGTCAGAGGCAGAAGAGTGGTTGTTGAGGTGGTTTGGCATTAGAGAGAATGTGGATCAAAGTAGAATACAGGAGAGCATATAAATCTATAGGGGAATGAATGCGGGGTAAGGGTCGTCCTCGAAAGGGTTGAGAGAGGGGGTCAAGGAGGTTTTGTGGGCAGGGCTTGGACTTCCAGCAAGCGTGCGTGAGCGTGTAGATAGGAGGAATGGAGACGAATGGTAACTTGGGGACCTGACGATCTGTTGAGTGTGAGCAGGGTTAATATTTAGAGTGAAGGGCTCAGGGAAACCAGTTATTTTCATATAGTCGGACCTTGAGTCCTGGAAATGGGAAGTACAATGCCTGCACTTTAAAGGAGGGGTTTGGGATATTGGCAGTTTGGAGGGATATGTTGTGTATCTTTATATGTGTATGCTTCTAAGCTGTTGTGTTCTGAGCACCTCTGCAAAAACAGTGATAATGTGCGAGTGTGGTGAAAGTGTTGAATGATGATGAAAGTATTTTCTTTTTGGGGATTTTCTTAGTTTTTTGGGTCACCCTGCCTCGGTGGGAGACTGCTGACTTGTTGAAAAAAAAAAAATTGTCTATGGGTCCTGTTGCAACTATCAAGTGTTTTAGTTTGGGATTAATATTAGAATTTATGGTTCTGTAAATGTAGGTTGCACAGTAGCAGGTGTGAATTTTTTGTACATGAGTAGGTTTTAGGTCTTATGAAGTGTGTAGGGGGGGGGACGTTGTCCCTACCTTAGTTTTATTTGGAGAAGGGTTTCGGGGACAACTTCCCCACGGCCCCCCTCTAAGACCAGGCCTCATAGTGCTCTGGTCTGATCAACCAGGGTGTTACTGCCTGGCCACATGTAAACTTATGTACGAACCACAGCCCGCTGATCAGATACTGACTTTAGGTGTGTGTCCAACACCTTGAGGGACAGGGGTCTATTATGGTAATCCCCCTTAATGTATGCTGTAGGCAGTTGACCAGTCTTGGGCCCCTGACACATAGAGTGTGTCTCTTAGTGTACTCATGGCCCCCTACTTCTTCATGGGGTAAAGTTCATCTCATGGCAGAATCACTTGCTTTTGTAGGTAGTGATTTTTCAGTGTCAAGTTTGTACTAATACCTTTCAGGATTTTCTAAGTGTAAATTATCATGCATCTTTCTCACCTGCTTCCAGGGAATACAAATCAAAGGGTTTTAAAACCATTCCCAGTAATGTAGGTGCTTATCGTACTTTGTGTGTGCCATGAAAGTTCTCTAACATCTCAAGGTCAGCTTTTTTTGCCTGCCTTGAAGGGGTAGTTAGTGTATAGCAGTATTTCCACCTAGAGAGAAGCAGCAACTTGAAGAAATCATCATGGGCTTGCATCCCTAGTTTTGAAGGTTCTCATTATGCACCCATCATTTTTCTAGCAATAGATAGATACAGGGGACCCCCGGTTAACGATATTTTTTCACTCTAGAAGTATGTTCAGGTGCCCAGTACTGACCGAATTTGTTCCCATAAGAAAATATTGTGAAGTTAGATTAGTCCATTTCAGACCCCCAAACATACACATACAAATGCACTTACATAAATACACTTACATAAATTGGTCGCATTCGGAGGTAAATCATTATGCGGGGGTCCACTGTACATTGTTGCTTTGAAGGAGAGGTCCTTCAAGACAACAATGTATCTCTTTAAAATCTATCTTACATTATCACTCCCAGGTCCTTCACATTAGTTGTTCACTCTGTTGTGTGGTTTTAAATTTTTTATCCCCTGATAAAATTTTAATTAACTCAAGTTTTCCATATCCGAGTAGTTGAAATTTCTCTTCGTTGAACTTCCATATTGTTTTCTGCACCCATTTTAAAGATTGGTTGATGCTTTTGGAGTCTTGCAGTGTCCTTTGATAGAGGACACTCATGGGAATTCGAGTGCCATCCGCAAAGAGGCACGGAGCTATGCTTACATTTTGTCTACGTCAGATATGAGGAGGAACAAGATGGAACAAGCATTGTGCCTCAGACTTGACTGTTTACTATTACTTTTTGTGTTCTGTTTGTTAGGAAGTTACAGATCCATCTACCAACTTTCCCTTTTTTCTTTGTCATGCATTTGTTATTACACCGTGGTCGCACTTGCCAAAAGGGCTTTTGCGAAGTCTGTGTATACATCGCATTTTTTTTTATCCTCTAAAGTATCCAGAACCTTGTCATTGGGTGGCCCCAGCAGAAATGTTTTTTAACTCTCTAGTTTCATGACTATTAAATAGTATAATTGCTTGGACTTGTTTAAATTTTTGGTGACAACCGATGTATAGCGGTGAAAAATTTCCCTTTAGTTATTAAGCCCCTTCTATATTGTTTTTCATATTGACGAGTCTTAGAATGCTGTAGTAAGCCATGGGCAACTGTCTTTTATTAATGTTTAATTTTGCAAAAGCCTTTGACGGGCATGATCATGGCGTAATAGCACACAAAATACATCTAAAGGAATAACTGGCTAAGTGGGGAGATGGATCTTCAACTTCCTAACCAATTGAACACAAAGGGTAGTGGTAAACAGAGTTAAATCAAAGCTGGCATAGTGAAAAGCTCTGTTCCACAAGGCACAGTCCTCACCCCCATCCTGTTCCTAAATATCAGACAGATGAAATCCACAGCACTGTATCATCCTTTGCAGACAAAACTAGGATCTGCATGAGACGCCATCTATTGAGGATACTGTTAACCAAGAATAAACCAAGGTTTCCAATGGGCAACAAAAACTATGATGTTCAATGAAGACAAATTCCAACTACTTCGTTATGGAAAATTGAGGGTATCAAATGATTTGGATAAAGAAAAATTGGATATCAAATTGAGGAGGAGTATGGAAGAAGTGAATGTTTTCAGATATTTGGGAGTTGAAAGTGTCAGCGGATGGGTTTATGAAGGATGAGGTTAATCATAGAACTGATGAAGGGAAAAAGGCGAGTGGTGCAAATTTAAGAAAATGTGGGACAATAAATTTTTAACT